TCAAACCAAAAAATAAAAATAATATTTTCTTGCAAGAGTAGTTGTGATTTGCTGTGTCTAGATGAACTTTGAGTGCCATTCTGTTTTTGAAAGGATCTCTACTATGGCTGGAGGTATAACTCAGTGATAGAGGGCTTGCCTACCATGTGTGAGGCCCTGAGATGATCCCTAGCACCACAAAATGAACAAAAAGAATACTATTTCTACTTCTCAGGTACTGTTGTTTCTTGATCTTCTCCTAGGCTGAGCTCCCAATGGGAGATCCTGTGGAGCTTGCATTAAAAATATATGTAGGCACTGGAATGCTATAATAAAAAAATAAGTAAACAAATCAGTAAAGACAAATAATGAGTATTGGCAAGGAGTGGAGAAATTGGAACTTGATACATAGCTGGTAGGAATGTAAAATGAATCAGTTAAGGTAGAAAAGGCCTTGAGGTGGCTGAAAAATTAAAAATAGAATTATCACAAGATAGTTTCATGGGGGCCGGGGAGATAGCTCAGTAGAATAAGTGCTTCCTTGGCAAGCACAAGGGCCTGAGTTAAATCCTAGTTCTGCCCATACAAAAAAAAAAAAAAAAAAAGAAAGTTGCATGGGCCTGGGGATAGTTCAGTGGTATAAGCACCTGCCTGACAATTGCAAGGTCCCGTGTTCAAGCCCTCGAAGAAGAAGAAGGAGAAGGAGAAGGAGAAGAAGAAGTAGCAGCAGCAGGGGAAGCTGAGGCAGGAGAACTGCAGGTTCAAGTTTAGCTTGGTCAATTTATTGACTTAGCAACACTCTGTCTCTAGAAAATGAGAAAGGATTATGGATGTAGCTCAGACTTGGGTTCACTGATTTACATTAAATTAAAAAGGAGGGCCGCAGAGATAGCTCAGAGGTCTAAGTGCCTGCCAAGAGCCAGTGTGGCGGCGCATGCCTGTAGTCCCAGCGCCGGGGAGGCTGGAACAGGAGGCTCACTATGAGTCCTAGCTGCATAGTGAGATGCTGTGCCAAATACATACAAATTAAAAATTAAAAAGGAAAATATGCTAAATAAAAGGAACCAGACACAAAAGGCCACATACTACCTGATTTCATTTGTGTTAAATATCCAGAATAATGTAAACCCATATAGACAGAAACACCGAACATTGGTGTTTGTCAGAGACTGGGGAGAGGGGATACCAGATTTCCTTTAGAGAGGATGGTTATGGAACCAAATAGAGGTGGAGGTTTCACAGTAATGTTAATACTAAAGTCCACTGTGTTGTTCCACTTTAAAATAGCTAATTATGTGCATTATTTACTTCATCACAATTTTTAAAAACATCCACTTGGGGCCTTGAGCGCTTTAAAAGGCTTCCTAAGTTGGGGAGGCGGGGCGAGAAGCAGACTGGGCGGGGCCACGCGAGGGCGCCTGCGCGGAGGGTCACGTGGGGGCTGAGCCGGGAAAATGGCGGCTTCGGGCGAGAGCGGCGCCTCAGGCGGCGGGGGCAGCACAGAGGAAGCATTCATGACCTTCTACAGTGAGGTGACCACCGAGAGGAATAGTAATTCTGGGGGTAGCGACATGGGCCCCTTCCCGAGTGGGCGGAGGCGGTGGGCAGCCTGGCCTAGGACCGTTGACCCGCTCCTGTCTGGCCTTCGCAGGAGCGGAGGGCCGGGGATGGTGGTGTGCGTGCTTCTCCCGCTGCTAGCTGCGGGGATCCCCTGGGCGAGGAAGAAGGGGCAGGAGCCGAGGTTTGGGAAGGGGGTCCTTCACTGTGGCCAATGAGGTTTCCGGGCGCGGGCAGAGAGCCCCAACACCGTGGGGCCGCGGGATCGCAGCAGCTGGGCCGTTCTTGGGGGTGACTTGGCTGTCTTGGCTGATTTTTAATCTAAACAGAAGTGTTCTTTAATGAGTAGGCGAAATGCATTGTGATAGGTGGGACGTTATATTACCCCTAGTTATACAGATAACAAGCTTGGGGTGTAGAGAAGTAAGGAGATTTGATTGGGATCTTATAGTAGGTAATAATATCTTGGTGTTCTGTCAGAGCCAGGGGTGAGCTGGTTCTAAGCCTCGTTCTCTCAATTAAGCTTCGTTCACTATGGCAATATCGAACGCCTACAATATAATGGATGCTCGGTAAATACTTGTTAAACGAATAAATAAGTGAAAGAAAAGCATGTCACTTAGAGGCAGAGGCTCACAGATTGACGTCTTGCAAGGCACTTCACCTGATTGCGATTAAACTGTTTCAAGATAGTTTCATAGCCCTTGAGTTTCCATGTTTGTGAAGTGAGGCAATGCATATTAAAACAAGAATTTTCATGAGAATTAAGAGAGTTAAGGTATAAGAAAAAGTTTCAGAAAATATAAACAGAAGTATCTTTCTCAGAGTTAAGCCTCAGACTGAAGATTGGATTTTTTTATTTTTGTTTTTATTTTTGTGGGCTTGGATGTGAGCTTCAACCCTGAGCTTATCAGGCTATGAGCTGCTTAAAATTAAAGACCAAGTCACATTCATTTTATCTCTGCATTTATAGAAGTGATTAATATGCAGTCTTTACAGTAAGAAATTTAAAGTTAGTAAGTAGTATATTCTTTATGGTCTGTCCTTTTGAACTATTTAATTCACTTGAAAGTGTTGCTGTTGTGGTACCAAAGTGTATTGGCTTCTAATGACACAGCAAGCAGAGTGGAACTTTTAAATTTCGTTCTATTTTTTCATACTGGGAATCAAACTTGGTAGTGAGGTATATCCCCAGCCCAATGGAACTTATTTTATTTACCATCTATTAATTTAAAAAAGCAACCTAAGTTTGTTTGAATCAGATCAGGAAAAGTATTTAAGAAAATTTTCAATCATTTCACCAGTAATTTATTTATTTATTTATTTATTGGCAGAACTGGGGATTGAACTCAGGCCCTTGTGATTGCCAGGGAAGCGCTTATTCCACTGAGCCATCTCCCCCGCCCCTCTACCAGTAATTATTGAGCACTTGCCATGTAGTGCTGTGCCGTTTAGCTGCTGGAATATGACACTGAACAGAGGAAAAAAGCCTGTCTTAATAGAACTTGCATTCTTGAGAAGGATAAACCAGGGGCCAGGGAGCTGGCTCAGTAGAATAAGTGCTTCCCTGGCAAGCACAAGGGCCTGAGTTCAATCCCTGGTTCTGGAAAGGAAAAAAAAAAACCAAAAAACCCCGAAAGATAAGGCATAAACAGTGTACCATGAGGTAGTGATACATGTTATCAGGACATTAAGTCTGGTAAAAAGGATAAACACTGCTCTATGGAGGGGGTGGTCATGCTATTTTTGAAATAGTGTACAGGGTAGATGCTGAGAAGGACTTTTTGTTATTGAAGTTCTTCATAGCCTTGTTTTAGCTACAGGAATAATGATGGTATATAATATGCCAGAGATTCATTACAGCTGGCATTTTAACTTGACAGTGGTCCCAAAGCTGTTTTACTGGGACTACCTGGTATTTGTTCTATTATTGTCTTGTGGACAGAGATTTTTTATTAGAGTTAGGTAAGTGGAATTATTTGCTCACATCCATGAATAGTGTTTTTTAGGAATAAGGGTTTTTTTTTTTTTTGGTTCCTCGAATGCCTTCAGGGCACTTTTAGCCGGGAGAGTTGTGAGGTTCGAACTCCAGCAACCCGAGGCTGACAGCTTTGTGGAAGCAGCCACTTTTAAAGGACTGAGCTAGGGCCAGGCCCCTGAATAGTGTTTTTTAATACTGCTTTTTTTTTTTTTTTTTTTTTTGCTTTTTTTTTTTTCAGGGTCTTACTGTGTAGTTCAGAGTGGCCTTGAGTTCACTATGTACCCCAAGCTGGCCTTGAACTCATGGTGGTCTTCCTGCTTCACTTCTGTGTGGTGGTTTACAGGTGCGCACCACCATACCCTGCCTAATACTACATATAGTTCTTGTTTAAATGTAATTGTTGCTTGGGAGGCTGAAAACAGGAGGCTCACGAGTCCGATCTGTGTAGTGAGAC